TGGGGTGAAAGTTTGGTTTTGCAAGAAGAGTCAGAGGTTTTGTGAATGTAGCTTGAAAACTGGGTTTTGTGTTCACAGTGTGGGGAAAAGGAGATCAGCTTTCCAGGAATGTGTCTTAGCAATCGAGAAAAACTGTAACGTGCTGGCAGCTCATGAACCGTTTGTCTCATTTCCACCTAAAATCCATCTCAGCTGGAAAGAAAGAACAACGAGGCTGAAGGTGGAAACTTAAAAGAAGAAAAAACTAAACTCCTGTGAGCTGAATAAGACACAGGATTAAAATCAGTAAATGCAGCAGAGTTTCAGATTCACAATAACAAGATTAATCTGTAGTGTTTAAAAAATAAAGCTGTAAATGAATCCTGAAAGTCTGAACTCACAGCCGCAGTCTGACAGTTTTATGAGATCAGAATTTAAAGAAGCCGATCACTTTCCCTGATGGTCTCCTCGTCTGATTTTTCAGGGTGTCAATAGAAAATACCTTTAAACAACATAACCAGAAATGTTTGTATTTAATGAAGCTTGTCTCTGATGACTATTTTCAGTTTGTTTTTATGTAAATATTTCATTTTGCCTCTTGTTTGTATTTCCAGGTATGTTTTCTGTTGTCTTATATCATCTTCTGTAAATCATCAGTACCATTTATTATAGTTAGTTAAAAAAATAGACAGAAAATTCAGAAAAATTCAAACCCATAAAAATAAATATGTATTTACAATATGTACACAGAAAGATTCAGAAAGGCAGTGCTCTGTGCTACAACATCCATCAGTAACCAGAAGAGCAAGAAATAATCTCTCCCTTCAGGCACATTAATGATTACGGCTGTGAATTCAATCCCAGGATAACAGGACCCTGAATTAACATAAGTCATGTTACACAGCGCACATCACTTCCTGTAATTAAAGCAGCTCAGAGTCTTTTGTTGATGTGACTGATGATTCGCTCTGATCCAAAGTCGGTCCTGCACAGAGAATCCTGTCAGTCCCAGTTTGTTTTTCTGAGACACTCAACATCTCTACATCAGCATAGAGGTGTCGTTGGCTTAATTTCTTTCTCAACACAACCCACAGAAAAAACCCCACCAAGATTAAAGCTGCTGTCACTCCTATTATGATATGGTTTCTTGTTGATATTAAAGTTGGTCTCTGAGGTTTGAGCTGATCAGCAGCTTCTGTAAAAGACAAAAAAATCTTAGTTGCCATTTGTTCATGTCTAAAATGGATATTTGCAATTAACATACAGAATTTGAGTCATGTAAGAATAGATTATCATAGTATCAGGGATTTAGCTGTATGAACCATAGTAAAACATTATATTCATTATTCATTTAAGTAGGTCATAGGTCAGGCTACTAAACATTCACACATAGAGCACACAGAGAATTGGGAGAATAGGTCAGAGGTTCATGTGAGAAGCAGAGGCGACAGAATGCTGCCGTTACTGGGACACAGTGTTGGTGAGCCAAAGCTGGGAGAACACAGTGTGCGAAGAAGTGGGCAGCAAGGACACGAGATAAGGAGGCAGGAGATAGAGAGGGAACAGGAGGCACCTAGTTTTGAGAGACAAAGGTTGTGGATGTCTGTGTTGGAGAATCATTACCCTGTTTTAGGTTGCATTATACTTCTGATTTAGAAATTGTGAAATTATTACACTGATTTGTATTACACTATACTGCTGATTTATTATTGTGAATCAATTACACTGTTTTATGATGCATTATGCTGCTGATTTATAAAGAAATACTGTTTG